AAGATATTCGAATACGTGCTCAAAAAGCTCTAGGACTATCAGTATAAACAGTGAAGGCATGCTTCGTGGTACAGACAACTTTCATTTTATTCTCATAACTTTCTCCTTTAAATTGGAACTGGTATTAATTAATAGAGTTATCAATATATTTTTAACCGGGTACCCATATAATCCTTTTTGCATGTCATCTGTGGTATAAAATAAGGTGCCTTCTCCACCAGAACCTTTTATTTATGCCCCATTACACGGAATGAACACTATACTTAGAACATTTGCTCTAAGTAATTTTTTCTGTTCCCAGGAATGTATATAGAGATTTGATTCATTCCGCTGACACGTTGTTTTAAGTTATGGCGCGTGCAGGTTTTTTCTATTAAAAGTCGCGCATGCAACACACCGGAATTGAAAATTCGTCGTAAAATCGCACGAACCTTAGAATGAGTGTAGGCAACTTTGACCTCTGGCGAGATTAAGTGGATTGTTCAAAGGACCCCCTGAGATTTTTTTCAGTACTATAACTGAGATTTGTTAAGAACTATGATAATCGTCATCATTAGCGGACGGTGCTTTTTGCCCATTGTTGTCATCATTATCGTTATCACGCCGGAAGAAGTATAAAGCCGGCATGTCGCCTTACCTAGCTACACAGAAAATTGTTCTCTCTTTTGCTCCCCTTGGATCCTGGAAACTGTTACTATTAAGACGATCAACAAGAAAGCCTTTATAATTAGTGAAACTTTTGATTAACAGAATGTAAGAAAAAATCGGTGGGGAGAGTTTTTCGCGTATCATAATCTGAACGATAGCTTTAAATAAAACAAATAACACTTAATTCAATTTACCTTAGTTGTCTCGTGTTTAAAAGTGGCGTTTCTTGGGATCGTAGATTCTTTTCTGATTCTTCTTGTCTCAGCCAAGACTCACTATCATCAACTTTTTTCTTGTGCTTCTTACGGCATGAGACACAGAGAGCTGAGGTAAGCGATTGCAAATTTCTCAGTTTAAGTAAAGCCCAGTAGCATCCATCAGGAATTAAAAACCAGCATGCACTGTTTACTTTCATTATTCTTAATCAAATAAGGGGTGTTTTAGTCTGCAAATTTAATCATACTGGTTAATGAGAATCATACAAACTGAGGAAAACTGACCGCAAATAATTGTGAACCGTACGCATGAGTAAGTATATTGCATTGTCAGGTGATTTGATCTTCTACAAAAACATTATTGATTATCAACCGAGCAACATTGTACATATTTCCATCTGTAATTAAAAGCACTTACACAAAGATCTATTTTTTTCCAACGTGATGTGTACTTAAGTACCCTTCATCTAATAAAGAATTTCTTCTCTTTTCGAGCAGATATGTCACGTGACAAAAATAGATGACAGAAAATGTTACTGAAGACTAACTGATTCAACTGAAATAATAACTCCAAACAACTTTTGAATGTCCTGAGACATATGCAAGGTAATTATATCTCTGCCTTGGATACGCTTCCTGACACCATCATGATCAGGATACTGACATGTTACCTTTGCACTTCTCCAAAACTTCCCCAGAGTGTGGCGATGCCTATAGCAAATCCACATTTTTTTTGTTTATCCTCCTGAGCGAGGTAAAATAGGCCAATCTTTGCCAAGATTAGCTCATTTTCACTTAAAAACCTCTTTAGACAGGTGGCAGCTTATCAAATGATGTTTTACTTCGTCATTGCATTCAGACAGTCGTACCAAACCACTTAAGCCACACGATGAACCAAAGTTTTTTCCATCTTTGCTATTCAAAAAGGAGTCCTGAGACATAGTGAACGTCTCGCTAATGAACGACTTCTTCCTGTACTTGTAATTGTTTCCAACGCGAAACAAGTTCGGGAGATCTAAAGGAACTCACTATAACTTTGTATATTCGATACGATTTCAATTTCCGCGTCAAAGGAGAAGCCTATTGTAATTCGTGAGTGGTCAGTGGTTACGCTCGTGAGGTAAAGAATGGGTTTGTGACTTTCTCACTCAATTGAAAGACTCGCGTCACTCTTATGAAATGGTTGAACGGAATACAGACTTCGAGCAGTCTCTTATTTTTCTTAAAGATAGTGAGGTCACGCGTATCCTGTGAGCATGGAGAAGCCGCGAGACGCGAGACTCGTATCTCGCGTCTTTGCCGCTCCACGCTCTCAGAGTTGGGCAAAGACAAGACACGTTATTTCCGGTGCGATACAAGAGGTTCAATGGTTATCTCGATTATCTAAACACATTTGTTTACGTGGTAAAGATTTGTTTTTAAATCTATGAACTGATGCTTGTCCGATTTGGAACGAAATGTATTTGAAATAAAAAAGAATACTAAGTAAAATAAAAGTTGTCTGCAACACGAAGCATGCCTTCGCATTAAGACTGAGAATCCTAATGTTTATCATAATACTTTAATGCATATGTTCGAATGTTCCCAAAAATCTTCTGATAATCTGCCCGCACCCACCCCTCACCCCGCCCCTCGCCACTGAACCGTACTGTTTTTCACTCAGCTGCGGTCACGTTTATGAGGTAAACAAATCGATCGATTCTTGATCACCGTTCTTGTCGATCGGAAAATCAAAATACCAGCGTGATATTGCGGCGAAGATGAAGCAGTTATGTTATTTGATTCGTACTTCACATTCGAGTCGAAGCTTGGATGGCACAGGTTATTTCTTGCGGTGGAATCGACGAGGGGAATTCAGAAAGTTGTAGTGTTTGAATTGTTGGACTAAATGGTCGCATGGGGATGTAAGTTTAACGAACAATTTCAAATTTTGCCCCTTGAATTGAAAGTAAACTTCATTTGAATTGCTTTCGTATGTATTTCTGACGGTTTTAGATCTACCTGCTTGATTTATATCGGCTACGCTTCATGTTGACAAGTCCCTCAAAATGGCGGCCAAACTTGGAGATTGCCGAAAATTAGGTAAGTTCACGGAGTTATAAAGTTCTCGTAAAGGTCGGGCCGCAAAGTTTTTTTCTGTAGTTACCTTTTCTATGGTACCTACCTCCTAGCTATGTTAGTTGGATCAGTTAAGAACGCCTCACTTTTTCAAAAATTTACCTTGAATTTGATCGGTTTTGGCGTGTGTGATTTAGGCGAACCGATAAGGTGTCATTCAAGTCTTCCTGTTTCCTTGATTGACCCGTGATGTTTACGAAAGTCGCCTCGATAGATAAGATAGAGTTAATATACATGGCTGTGGTATTTGTTTTTTGCTGAGTTCCGTAGTTTTTTGTAAATAGTCCTCCAAAGTTGTATGAAATTAAAGTCTTGAAAAGTGTCACGACAAGCCTTCGCTCGAGTGAAATTTAATTTCCGTAAAACTCTGAAAAATAGAGAGATTCGATCAAACTGATTGTGGTTTTTAGTATAGGTACATGAATGTCTTACAACACACGAGAAACGAGCGAAATCCGTGTCTCAAGCAAAATCGACCGGACCGCTCTTACAGAGACACTCTCTTAAATGCAGAAATTCAATCTTCCTAATAGCAACTGTTTTACTTCTCAGAACACGTTCCTTTATGACTCGCATTACTGGACCAGCCAAGCCTCGGCTGAAAAAGGAACAGAGATCAAGACTCCAGGATACTGGCTCAGCAATTTTACGAAGATATGCATCACCATGGAGTTTACACCTCTTTATTCCCAGAACGCGGCTATACTGGTGAACTACACTGAACAGTCGCTTTACACCGCCCTTGAGAAGGGAATTAAGATGTCATGGCACGTAGGACATGACGCTACCTCAAACACCCCACCTAGTATCGATAAAGGCTGTCTCATCCAAGGCTTCAACATGCTTGGGCCACACCCATGGAACATAAAGTCACGTGTTGGAGTAGAGTCTCAGCCTGTGCATTGGTGCAATTTACCGTATTTAGTGCGAGGAGTTGGTATTGGTTACAGTTTCAGGGGTAAATCACAAATAAGTTGTGGTGATGTCATTATAAGAGGCCATTTTAAAGAAACTCATCCAGCTTTTTGTAGAATATACATTCAGTAGCGAATGAGAGGGAATCTGGAAGGTCTACTACATTTTATGATGGAGACACTCACTGTTGAAACAAGCTGCCGTGAAACAGGCAATTAAAAAATGTCGCGCAAAAGGTGATTCATTAAAAATAAAACAGAAAAAGAACCATACCGAATGAAAAGTTGAAATCAGTGAACCCAGCCATTCTAATTGTTGAATTTCTTGAATCCTGCCAACCGTAATATAAATTTAAACTTTAGTTCCGTTGTCTGACATTTCAAAACTATGGCTATGAATGAAAAGTTGAAATCAGAAAACCTAGCAATTCTAATTGCTGAATTTCTTGAATTCTGCCAACCATAATATAAATTTAAACTTTAGTTCCATTGTGTGACATCTTAAAACTATGGCTATGAACGAGTACGATGAGAGAATCCTCAAAATAGAAAAATCTTACAATGAACCCTTTATCCATGCACTATCCAGCAAACAGGTAATGAGAATACTCAGATGTATCAGAAGTTGTTATCTTGATCTAAGACCAAATTCTCCTCAGATGACTTTATATTACCGTGTACCTTTATGTTATTTTATCTAAGCTCACCTGGCCTCTTATCAAAGCTGTTGACAATGAACACGTGCACATAGCAAAAAAATTTCATTGCAGTTGCCAAAAACAAAATATTAATAATGGTCGCTTAAAATAATACTTTCACTGAAAGAAGGCGAGAACAAATGCACGATAAAAATTCCCACTATAGCAATTTTCCAGGTGTTTGATGATTATCAATCGTAGTAACGGAACAATAAACAACCTTTGAGTCATACAGCCAATAAAATTTAGGCACCCAATTAAGTCAACCTACAAATTTAATTTCCTCCCGCTATCCCTCACATTTCACCTATTACCACGCAAACCTCAGCGTCTGTAAAGCGGTTAAGTGTTGTTAGGGCGGTGAAAGCATGTACATGACAATTTGTATTTCCATTATCTTACTCTTTTTTGCCTGCTGTTCCTATCCAAAGCAGCATTCATCTTCTTACTTCAAATATTCGTTCCTGAAAGATCCGCTTGGAGGTTCTCTCGGCGTTCAAGGGTTCCGCGCTGGTTCTGAACTGGCGTGTGCATTACGATGTGATAGAGATAACCGTTGTAATGAAGCGATATTTGACATGGCCTCAAAGAAATGCTCTTTGCATCACAAGAGGGACAAATGTTCCAGAGATCCTGACGTGGACGAAGAAAACGAGAAGTCAAGATCTTGGAAGATGACAAAAGTAAGAAATTTAATAAAAATACAACTTCGCCATTTTTCTCCATTTCTCCTAAAATGAAATCTTGGTAAATTTTGATTCAAGTTGATACAGCAACAACCATCAGACAGTTACATTACCTAAAAAAAATTGTATTTGTCACGTCTGTTGAGGTGAGTTTCATGAAGTTTAGTTCAGGAAAACGTTAATTTTTTCAGACGACTGTTGATATCAAAACGACGAGATGGCGCGTATAATGCCCAATAGTGCACAAATTGAAACAAACTCATCACTAACTTTGTAATTAAAAAAAAAATAAAATTGAATTAAGAAACCTTTGGAGAGATAGGCCATTACAGAAACGGAAATTACAAGTTGACTGTTTTAAAGATAACGAGTTTTATTATGCAAAATGGTGTTAGCACAGGCTGATTGGGTAAAAATGAAATTTCGAATGCTACCATCAGGCGTCAGGATGCCATACCACTATCATTTACTGATTGCCATACGTAGTGGTAATAAAGTTCGCTGAGAATGGGAAGGGGAAATGAAGAATTTTGACGCCTCTACCAAAAGAAAAACAATAATCACCGGTTTCTGTGTACACGCAGGTGATCAATTTGACGAACAAGAAGCTGATCTCGTCCTGTAGTTTAGCCGTTAATGAAGGTAATAGCGACACAAATTCTGTTGAAGGTAAGGGGGGGCTGTATGGGGAATATAGAATAATAAAACAAGGTAAGAGAAAAAACTCGTTATGGGCCATGTTTCTGATATATCTCTTTAGTAGCACACCTCGTGTCACCCCCTCCCCCAAAAGTGAGATTGTTTACAAGGGGGTGGGGAGCTGGAAAAGTCAAGATAAAAATATTAAATTAGCTGGTAGACGCACCTACCTTTCCGAGATTTCAGTTGCTCTTATTGCAATTGATTTCCTTCTCTACCACAGCCATACTTAAATTTAAAGAAAACGAACTGCTTCAAACATAATTTTCAATGAAATGGCTAAAGTTACATCCATAGAGATCGTATTAAGTTAAAAGTAGTAAAATATTTCAACCATGTCTAGAACACCCTGCAAGGAATGAATTTCGAAGAACAACGTACAAAGACTTTGATTACGATATTTCGACTGGCGAATATCGTCCTCCAAACCTGAAGAACGCCGCTATTGGCGAGTCGAAATATCGCAATGGAAGTCTTTGTATACATTTAACAGTCTTTACGACATTTATTTACGACATTTATAGCATCATCATCATTTTATAATAAAAAATTGGTTACTTTTCTGTTAAAATATTTTATCAAAATACTCTTTCCTTTGTTGTATTAAAGTTCAAAACAACACTTACATCATTTCGACAAATAATCAATGTTTTGTTACTTTTCTGTTAAAACATTTTATCAACATACTCTTTCCTTTGTTGCATTAAAGGTCAAAACTACACCACAGGGACGTCTTGTTAAGGAAATGACATTCGAAGTGGACAAAGAAATAGGCATGCAGAAACAAACTTAACGAAATAATTCAAATCTCTTGGAAAGGTTATGAAAACCATTTATGCCAATTTGGCGACTAATTTTCAGGATTTGGTCGCCAAAGTGAAAAATTTGGTCGCATTGGCGCCTGTATTAGGCGCAATTTCACACCCTGCCCTGGCAGTGCTCCCACTTCCTCCCATTGGCTGCACTCTAAATCATTATAAAAATCCTTCCCAAATCGCGCTAAAAAAGCTTACTGCATAGAAATATGCCCACATTCTGCTGGGATATCTAGTTTCACATGTTCTTTGATCACCCCATTAATTTAAGTGCTCTTTCACAGTTCTCTTTAGATAGAAAGATTTAACATCTTAAAAATTTAAAATATAACACAAAGATATATGTGAGATTGTTACTAAAGTTCTTAGAATTAAAAATGTATAGTAGAATGAAAGATTTCATTCATTACGTGTCTTTACAGTTCAAGCCCAAGTGGCCCCTACAACATAAGCATTGGTAATTTCACGTGGAAGACAAAGTGCAGGATGAAAGGAATTCCTGGATGCGGGCCTGGAGTATGGGAACTGATAATGAAAGTCAAAAGTTCAAAGGTATTTACTTCTATCATTATTAAGGAAAGAGTGGTCAGCATGACAGAAGAAGGAGTCATGCTGGACCCGACACCAGTTATCTAACTGGCTTGACTCTGCAGATTGGAATTTTCTCTTGGTATGTTTCATTTGAATTGTTTCTTTCATGGCTTAGGTTGAGAATATGTTTCGGCACAATGAACCTTTATGAAGTAGAAATTTTCCCCCAAAAAGCTATAAGAAATCCTGGTTAGCTTATTACATATGAATATACCGTAGATCCTCTAATAGGCGCCTAAAGCGCCTCTATCGATCCATAAGGTTTAGAAAGGAAGTACTTATTCGAGAACGGCGTTTTATCGAAGGGTGGTTCATATAAATATGGTTTTTTTGCAGTATGACATCTACGTGCAAACAATAATACGAACTATGTATGATAAAATAACGAAGTCCACTCCTCAGGAACGTTGTCTTAGCGACCAAATAACAGGAAAATTGAGATATCCCTATTTTTAGATGAGACCCCACGGCAGTGATTCAATTTTATTTTTCATTTCGTTTTTGCATGTGAGGATTAAATTTGGAAATAACTATTACGGCAAAAAGAGTTAAGATTTCTGCTAAACTGGGAACTAACAGGATCTGTCTCACCTTTTAGAGCATCTTGCGCTATGATTCTCACCACTGGACCAGCCAAGCTTCATATCGATCAGTAAAGGAGGGAGGTGAATTCAAACTTCCCGGATATTGGCTCAGAAATTTCACCAAAATATGTGTCACCATGTATTTTGAAGCAAACTCCTCCACGAACTACACAAGTATTCTGCTAAACTATCCTGCTCAATCACTTCACTCCGCTCTGCACGAGGGGATTAAGATGTTGCCAGTGGAATCATCCAAGATCACGATTCCATTCGGTATCGACAGTGGTTGTTTGGTAAAAGGCCTAAACATGCACGGGCCAGCTTCATGGCCGATCAAATCACGCGTTGGAGTAAGGTCCAAGGAGTCCCCACCATGCTCCATGCCGTATTTGGTGCGCGGTATTGGTATTGGCTCTCAGCAAGTACCTGAAATGAGTTGTGGTGAAATCATCATAAGTAACAATACAAAGTTATCACCAAAGTATTTGTTACAATCATTTCCAGCTCTCTGCAGAATCTATATTCAGTAACAATGACAAGTCAAGGTTAAAAATTAAAAAAAAAAAGCGTTGATATTAATGTCATCCGCGAATGTTAGATATCAAACACCCAAACCATAGAAGCGGCGAGCTGCATCTAGGAGAGCTAATATTTACAGCCGAAAGCTAATCACAATTAAAGTTGATCTTAACACAAGGTTGTCCACAATATCATCGGTAATTTTGTGCAAATTTTCCCTAGCATCTAGCATCTTCTTCATTATCATAAATAAAAACAAACCAGACAGACACATCAAGCAATATATAGAGAATACACGGGCACGCGTAGATACGAAGTCAGTTTTCTTCGAGTGCTCAACTCGAGAAGAGATATTCCATTTCTACAAGCGATCACGTATTATTTTGTATATTATATAAACACAATGGCCCTTTACTGACAAGAAAAGTCGCTCTCATTGAGTAATGAACAAAATGGGATCCAAGGCACCTTTTTTGTCTTTGAGCCAATCACATCAAAGGCTTGAAATTGAGACCGTCTACAACTTAAATACAATATCGCTTATATCCACCCATTACCGCGTTAACGAGAGCGTCTGTGAATCGGGAAAAATGTCTGCAAAGCGATAAAGGTCGTAAAGCTTGTCGAAGACAATCCTTATTACCATTATTCTGCTCAGTTATGCCTAGCGTTGCAATTTACAGGAGCGTTATCTTCTTATTTCACATTTCCGTTCATGAAAAATCCGAATGAAGGCTCACGCGGCATCGGAAAGTTCCACGCTGAATCTGAGCTAGCTTGCACCCAACAGTGTGACAGAGATAACAGCTGTTACAAAGCGCTATTTTACCAGGCCTTAAATGGGTGCTCTACGTATCAAAAGAAAGAAATACGTTTCAGTGAAATTGAGAAAACGAAAAAGACGAAAAACAAGAATTTGGGCGATGATAAAAGTAAGAAATGTCGTTAAAATGCTAGTTTCCTATTACACGATCTAGTATTTTCCCTCTAATATGCAATTTCAGACCATATATAAGTCATTTGTTTCCTTGCAAACTTCATTTTCAACATTTCGCCTCAAATGAAATATTACTCAATCATTCTCTTGCAAAATAAAGCAATAAGCATCAGAATCATAATATTGCGTGAAAACAGCTTCTGTCATTTGCCAAGTCTGATGAATTACATACGACAGACATTAAGGAAAACACTTTAATTTGTCGAGACGAATACTGATGACAAAAAGATAAAACGACGCGTATTTCATTAACGAACGGAGGCATAAACTTCAACAAACACATGGATGGCTCTTGTTATAAAAAACAAATTTTAGATCAATTTCATAAGCCAAACTTCAGAAAGTAATTGAAAAAAAAAACCGGAAATTAAAAGCTTATTGATTTCAAGATAACAGGCTTCTTGTCAAGTAAAAAATTACGGATCACGACACACATTAGGAAAATGAAAATTTCGAGTGATACTAACAGGAAGTGTTAATCAGGGTTCATTGACGAGACAGAACTGACTATCATGTGATGAATACCGAACTTATTTCAGCATTGGTAGAGGTGCAAAACTAAGAAAGGGGGAGGGGGCAGTTATCATAACGTTACTGTCTAAAAGCACTGTATAGTAACCTGTTCCTATACATGTAAATGAAAAAATTGACGAACAATGAGGAAGAATCCCGTATCTCTATATACTGCCGGAAAAAGCGACGGAAGCAGGAAGGTTTTAGAAAGTAAGAAGGCATTTATAGGAAGAATAAAAGTATAAAATGACAAAAGCTCAACTAGGGCCTTGGTTTTTGAAGCTCACTTTTAGCAATTGTAGTATTTTTCATCGCCAGGAATCCGTTGGGAGAATATTTTGCCCAAAATGTTCCCTAGTTATCTTGATAACAAATTGACCATCCGTTTAAAAACCCCATAATTCAAGGAAAAAGATACATTGCTGGGATTTGGGGAGAAATTTCCTCTTCCACCGAAAATCCAGCCTAAAACTGATCGAGTGGTACATTAGAAATCCATGTGTATACGCCTAAACAATTCACTTACTATAAATTTCCTTCGTTTTTATTAAAGAATCTACTTCGACTTCTTGACAAAAAAAAATTTCCATTAAATTTCACCGTCCCAATTTGTCTTTACAGATGTATTGTCAAGAGTAACAAAATCTCAAATGAATATACCGTGGTCCTTAAATGAAGTGTTCTCGCTTAAGGTTACCTGGCCTATTAATGAAACTATATTTAAGATTAAAACGAAAACAATAAGTGCACTTGAGGGTCATGAAAAATAAAAATTCGTGGTGTTAACATCCGATGGAAGGAGAAAAGATATCAATGATGGAAAATGACATCAAAACAACTTGTCAGGTGTTATCATATATGTCAATCATGGTACCGCAACACAAGGCGCCCTTTGTGACATCAAGTCAAACAGTCCAAGGCATAATACCTTCTTCCTACGGCTCACAATTACACAGCAAACCAGAGTGTGTGTGTGTGGCAGAAAAGATGTCCATAAGACGATAAAAGCATGTCCAATAAAATCAGCATTTCCGTTATTCTGCTCAGTTGTGCCTACTGTTCACATCTTCAGGAGCTTTTCAGTTCTTATTTCATATTTTCATTCCAAAAACATCCTCGGGAAGGATTTCATAGCATTGGAGAGTTCCACGCCGGTACTGAGCTGGCTTGCGCCTTGCGTTGTAGCAGAGATGACACCTGTGAAGGAGCCATATTTCACAACGCCTTGAAGAAATGCTCCTTGTATCAAAAGAAGGGAAAATGTTCCAGAGGTTCTGACGTGGACGAAAAGGAGGAAAAGTCAAGAATTTGGACGATGAGAAAAGTAAGAAATTTTTTGAACATAAATTTTTCTATTTTCAACTTTCCTCACTTAAAATGAATGTATTTTCGTGAGAAAAGTCTTTCGTTTCTTTGAGAATTTTAAGCTACATATCTCTCTCGAACTTGAATGGTGCTGAGTTTTGATTCTGTGGGAAATAGCAATGAGTTTCAGGCACATTAAACAGTAGTGGAAAACAATTGATGCTAATTACTTCGTCTGTTGAATTATAGACGGCAGCAAATGAGGAGAAACTTTCACTTTGTTTAGACAACTTCCTATGACAAAAGAATAAAATAATGTGTATTTCATTAACAACTTGGGCACAAACTTATACAAACACATAGATGACTTTTGCCACAAAAAAAAAGTAATTTAATTTCGAAAGTATACTTTGAGATAAGTCGTAAAAAAAAACGGAAATTAGAGGCTCGTATGACAAGATAACAGGTTCCTTCTGTAAAATGAAGTTTTCCAGTTGAAAACACATTGAAAAAACGAAACTTTCAAGTGCTTCTAAAATAAGTCGTTGTTCAGACTGCACGAGGCAGTATTGACTAGACTGCGATAAATATCAAACGAAGACAAGCAACGGTATTAGGGGGGAACTACGAACCAGGGGGGAGGGCAGGAATTATCATGACATCGCCGTCTCCAGGCAATAACTAATAACCACTCCTTACGTACTTGCAGATCGCAATATTGACGAACAAAGGCCAAGGGTCATCCAGTACCTCCTTTACTAACAATAGTAGCGTGGAAGGTATGTAGGGTAATAATACACAATGTGCCAAGACGAATAAAATAATTTTTAAAATACTAAGGCAGAATTAAGCATGTTAGTCTGCTATCCTAATAAGCAAACCCTGTCCTGTTACCTTATCCCCTAATTCCCCTTCTCTCTCAAAGGAAAACACTATGGAGATATTTGCGGGACGAACACAATCAAGTGCGTTGAAATCAAGCGTCATGGCTTAGAGCGAACGAAAAAAGTTCTCAAATGATTATTCGTCTCTGCACAACCGAGGTTCAGAAATATTGAAAAAGACAAATTATAAAAATTTGCTCAAGAATTTCGTCTACACTTCCTTGTAATTAAAATTGAAGTGAACTGTCTCGTATTCATCTTCTTCTCTACTGAAATCCTTCCTAAAATCTATTGTGTAATACAACGTAATATGTAGATGAGTTATACTAAGGAAAAAAAATAATCACTAACCTGTCATTTTCTCTGTTTTCTTGAAAGGTCGAAACTACACCGCAGGGAAGTCTTGTCGCGACATATTTAGGAGACATAGGTACGCAGTTCAAGGATATGAAGTTTCCACTGAAAGTACAGAATAGAGGTATTAAAGTGAACAAACACAAAGTTAGGCCCTATTTTATCACTTCGGTTTCCCGCGATAACCGACCCTCGGCACATCAAATCCACTTCATCGAGTTTTTTTAATACAAGGATCATCGAACATACTCACTGGGTAAATAATTACTAATACTACTACTGCTCAACTTTCCACTTAACTCACTAAAATTTACATTGGAAAAACGGGTCACATCTTAAATTCATTTTCTGTAATCACAGCTCAAGCCGGAATGGCATCTACAAGATCAATATCGGTAACATCACGTGGAAAACAAGATGTAGAGGCTTTTCTAAATGTGGGGATGGAGTATGGGAACTGGTAATGAAAGTTAGTAATGGAAAGGTATTTGCTTGCATTTGTTTTGAAGAAATAGCAATAACCAATGAGGCCAGGAGGTTAGAAACTCGACTTACGAAACAGAAGTTCCGAATTTTAGTTCTAGTCCACGCTTTAAAATATGACTTAAATGCCACCTGCTAGTCGCATTTTCTTTACGCCTGCAAAGTTTCATGTACAGTGAGCTTTCCCTGAGAAAGTGTTCCTAATATCGCGAAGAAGTTTGAAAATTACGTAACCTCTGACGATTAGATTCCAGAGAAGTTGTACAATTTTTTCTCACCTCTAACTTAGTTTTGATAGAGCGCCAAACAATAAAAGAAAAGAAGTTTTTTTACAAGAATTAATAATTCAAAAATAGAGAAGCCTTTAATGTGCTTTGTTCTGTTGTAAAGCACGAAAGAAAGAAGTGTAGGAAGAGACACGAGACGTAGTCGAGTGTTTTTCCCCACTTCTTGAGTGGCTTCTCTATTTGTTTTATAACAAAGAATCCGTTAAATTCCCTACGCGTTACTTTCAATTTTCAAAACAAACTTTATTTTTAAAGCGAACAGCAGTGTCGTCAGCGTGTTCTACACTCTCATAGGGCACGTTACAATAAACCAGTCACAATCGTTGTAAAATCAGAATTCACATTCTGCAGTAGTTAACAAACTGGAATAGTTCGGCAGGTCGAATTTAACACTTGCTTGAAGTTGTTTAGTCTCTTATACAGAATCTAAAATTGAAATGTTCAGAATAATTCGGCCGCATTGAAGCTCATGAAAAAACGCGAGTTTTATCACATGATAATTAGAAAACAAACTGCTCAAGGCGTATGTTTCATGAATGAACGACAACCCAATTCACTCGGCTGCTGTGCCTGATGTGGTCTTCCACTCAAAGCATCGGAAAGGATATCAGAGCTCTTAGTTGTCGTAGTTGTTCACTCGAAGGGCGGCCGATTAAAAATTCTGATGCTTGCTTCACTGTGATGACCGGATATGTCATGATGAGCTGGCCGCGATGGACTTCAGCATGATCGCATTCACTCTGACACCGCTATGATTAGTATGAATTTTTAACAGTTATGCCAGTTTGGCTATACTTTTCATCATTCTTGTTTTTTTCTGTTTTGTTCTTGAACACAAACTATATATATCACACGAGTGTTAGCTATGTTTGATTTTTATTACTGCAGGTAAGCTTGCAATCCAGCTAATTGTAAAAAAACTTCAAAACTCGGACTGTCCATTTCGTTTTCTGTTTGAGGATTTTCGTCTCTGCTTACGTTGCTAACGTCAATTACGGCGCTTGAAATGTTTAAAAAACTTTGTTTGGTTTTTCTGTTGCTCTTGGCGGACCCGCTTATTCCGAAATTTCCCTTTCAATATACGAAAAAAAGCCAGAGAGAAGTCCGGTCGGACAAGGTACAATTTGGCAGTTGGCGTGACAGCTTTAGCTCTCTTGCTCTATGTTCGTTTTTTCCGAACTTTATTATAAATTCTCTCAGTGATTGCAATCTCCCTTACAGCCCTACGAAATAAAACAACAACAGCAACAACAAGAAAACGAAAACACCAACAAAAACGTGTCACTAGTGACACTAGTGGTATCGAACTTATAAAATGTAACACAATATCATTTGACAAGTAGTTTTGAGTTGTTGTGCTAAAATGGTGATTAACAAAAAACATTTCTCACCTCTTAGAATCTTTCCTACTATGACTCACCTCTCTGGACCACTCAAGCTCGATATGGATCAGTAGAGGAGGTAGGTGACCTAAAACTTCCTGGATATTGGCTCAGAAATTTCACCAGAATATGTGTCACTATGACCTTCGGGGCAAACGCCTCAACCAAATATACAACTACGGTGGTAAACTACACTGCGCAGTCTCTTTACTCTGTAATGAATGAGAGTTTTACGAAGACATGGCCAGTGAGTGCGTCCACCATCACGACTCCACCAGGTATCAACAAAAATTGTTTGGTAAGAGGCCTCAACATGCAAAGGTCCTCCCCATGGGTGATCAAGACACGTATTGGAATTCAGTCCATTAAGCGACCTTCTACGTGCCCAGAATTGCCATATTTGGTGCGTGGTGTTGGTATCGGCTTGAGTAAACGACCTAAAACGAGTTGTGGTGATATCATCATTAGTAGTAACAATAATTCACCACCACGATATTCTACACAAATTTTTCCAGCTATTTGCAAAATCTACATTCAGTAACTGTAACAGCTAAAGGTAGAGCAAAAGATGAGTAGTCAAGTCTAGTATGTATTGCTGCAACGTTAGAAAGAATTGATGGTTTGCTCAGACTAAGTAGCTGTAACAATTGAGAGTTACCTAGGGTGTTTCAGGTACATAAAGTTTGTGGAAAAATTTTTTGATGTCAAAACGAATGTAACACGGTGAAAACGGCTTATCAAAAGGTCACTTTCTGTTAGTTAATTGTAATAAAACTATATGTTAAATATACGGGGCACATTCACATTTCATGGCGCGCAAGATGTGTTTACATATACGTATCATTCTTGACATTTAAAACCTCTTGGCTAGTCCGAGGTCCTCGTGTCGAGTTTCCCCAGTTGCCTAATCAAACAAAACTGGACAAGTCACCAATAATTCTTGTAATTTAGGAAAAAGGCGAAAGGCACCCTTTATGTCTTTCAGCCATCAAATCGAGGAGTCAAAAAAGAGAATCTCTACCTATTCAGTTCCCTGTCGCTATCGCTTATGTTCACCATTACCAAGCAAACAAGAGCTACAGTAAAAAAGGATTGTGGCACTGTAAAAGTACGACTAAGGTAATCAGCGTCACCATCACTCTACTCAATTGAGCCTGCTGTTTCCATCTTCAAGAGCGTTTATCTTCTTATTTTACATTTTCATTTCTTCAACATTCGAAAGAAGGCTCTTATGGCCTTGAAGAGTTCCACGATGATTCTGAGCAGGCTTGCGCCTTATGATGTAACAGATATACCACCTGTAAAGAAGCGATAATTAATTTTGAAAAGTATTCCGCCAGACAGAGTAACATCTTTAGTGCTCTTAGCAATTGAATTTTCTTTTGTCGCAGAGGTAAGGAGTGTGACTGAGAGAATTACAGAGATTTGTGGGAAAAATTTAGCTACTCTTTCTTCCTTTGTTTCTTTCATTGTCATTCATCATTGTACCACCTTAAATTGATCGCCAAATTTTCTGTAAAGAGTTCTGCGACAGGGCGGATCACTAACCTGTAATTTTTCTTAGTCACCATGAAAAGTCAAAACTGTACGACAGGGAAGTCTTGTCGTGACATCCTGCAGAGCCATGATTATGCAGTTGAAAGACGAGGAAATAATCAATCAAATGCTTCCCTCTTCATGGTGTGAACTACTTCCGTCGATAAAATTCCATTTTCACAGGTCTATTTGGATACAAAGATCGACCAATTAGCTTCACTAGATTAACCGTTTCTAGCATCCTTTGAGCATGTGGCGTATTAATTAAAAAGAAATAATTTGTATATGTCCATAATAAAACGTGAAATCGAATTGAGTCGAGTCCTCTTATCACAGGTCAATCCGAGGTGGTGTCTACGAGGTAAAAACGTGTAACATTTTCGTGAAATACGAGCTGTAAGATGAAAGGCGTATCCAATTGTGGGGACGCAGCATGGGAACTAGTGATAAAAATCAAAAGCTTGTAGGTATCTATTTATAAAATTTTGATGAAATAGGGATAAGCAAAAAGATAGAGCAATTAAAGTGCTACACTTGCGACCCGGTAGACCCGAATTCGAATTCTAGGCCACGCCTGTAAAGAGCCAATTGATTTGCCTCCTGTCAGTTGATTTTATTAAACCTGGTTTCGTATCACTAATTCGATCAGCTCTTCAAGCCTTGGTGCTGTAAAATGCTACACAGGGTATAGAAATGCTGTACTTTTCGTTTTTGATCGTCAACCTTTTTCTGCACTCGCGACAAGAGAATTATTATCTCCATTATCTCAAGCTTCCGGCGAATTTAACGAAGAAAAGAAAGTTAGAGAAATTTTACGCACGATTCACACAACTGGATCAGTCAAGCTTCTTAAAAATCACTGGCAGCAGGTGAATTGAAACTGCCTGGATATTGGCTCAGAAACTTAACCAAAGCTACACGCCTCAACTGACAACACAACTGTAATGGCGAGCCACGCTGCCCAGTCACTCTACGCCGTCACGACTGAAGAAATCAATAAAACATGGCCAATTGATTTGTCCAAAATCAAGTCTCCTGTCAGTTTCAACAAGAACTGTTTTGTAAAAGGCCTCAATATACCTGGGTCATTCCCATGGGGAATGAGGTCGCGTATTGCAGTGCAGTCCCAGTCGTCTCTCGAGTGTCCCACTTTGTCATATATGGTGTGCGGAGTTGGTATTTGCCCCAAAACTATCAACAGAAATTAGTTGTGGTGAAATCATTATTAATTTACAAAATTTGACACAACCCATTCCATTCGCAGTTGTGTTTGCCTTTGTATTTGCATCGCTTGTTTGAACCAGGCTTGAGGAGCCATGTCCTTGTGAGTTTCTAAAGACCCTTATACTGACTAGCTCATTCGATGAAAAAAGTAATTGCTTTTTGACACTTAACAACTTTCCTTGATTACAAGTAATGAGCTGTAAGTAAGTTTCTGAAATTCAAGAATAGTGTTGTAAATAAACCTAAATCAATTAAAAAACTGTATTGGAAAGCAAAACTACAGCTTTATCAGGAAAATTTTTTAGTAACGCAATCAATAACAAAAACCTATCGAATAAAGATTGATTTGGCGATGGGAGTTTTTGAAAGAAATTTACAAATGAAAGCTTGCCATTTTAGGCTCATCAGCAATGGCAACAAACAGAGGAACGTTTTTCCTGCTACCTTCAACTAAGACAGCCATTTACACTTTTGTAAGGAAAAAAAAAACAGAAAAGTCACAACAAGGAGAAACAGAATTTCCGTGGCACCTAATTTTCTTTAAGAAAAGCAAATAAAAACTACTTAGGAAATGGGTTCTAATGTAATTGTTTTAATCCGGATCTCGGGGTTACAGATCGATACCATATTAGGAGTAACAGAGCCTTTTAGTGTCGATGCATGATCGCACTTGTTAATTTTCACAATTTTTATATGAGCCCTTTAAAGCCTCAAGTCATTAAAATGGCGAAATTGGGGAATGTCAAGTACCATAAAAGTTTCGTCGAAGCTCTTAAGAGTAGCTGTTCCACAGATATTCCATTCATCACTGACGTCAACATTTCAGAATATGATACCTTTGGGCAAAAATAGGATCTATCCATTTGAAGTCTCCCGTTCTGTAGGTCAAAAAATCACTTTCTAGCTTAAAAAGATGAGAGCACGGTCGTTATCAATCCGAATCCCTGTCATTTTTATGGCAAGCCTTTTCTCTGGCAAATGCACATGTTACGATTTTCCTTAGTATTTCAAAATTACATTGCAGTCTGATCTGTTTATAGAGGAGGATTTCTTCCTCACAAAAACTGTTCATGATGACATAAGTTGCACTACGACCTGCAACGCAAATAACCACTGTCATTCTGTGCTGTTTGACAAAATTAAAAAAAGTGTTCTTTACTGAAAGCCAAAAGAATCCTGCAACGTCATGGTACAGATGAATCTGGTGATACCGGAAAGATAGTTCTGGAATAGTAAGGTCAAAGTATCTCAGTCATATACCAAGTAAGTACAGAATACGATATTTCATAGGAGCCGACTAAGTTGAAAGAAAGCTTCCACAGGCAAGAGTCGTCAAGATTTGTACGGTGAGGTCTACAAAGGCAAATGAACAGAAATTTAAGAATTGCTGTACTCTCGAAAAGAAGTCTGCCTTTGGCAGTCGTAACAAAACAAAACCAAAGGACAAAACGTGTACACTTGCATTAGAACGGGCGGTAACCGCTTCCAACTAGCGAGGGGAATCACCAAAACACTTTCGTTTTTCACATGGGATCAGTACAACAATTATCGACCGATTGCTACATTCGTGTAGGTGGCCAATTTGACGATCCAAGAGCACGATTCATCTAGTAATTCTTCAGCTAACAAAGGTAAGGTGCTCTAAAATGCTGCTGGAAGTAATTAGTAAAAAGATGTGATGAATACCAGAAACAAAAACCAACAATGGCCCTGTCTTGGTGATCTTTTATGTAAACCCATTCCTTTTCCAATGAAGTTGAGGTAGGAGGCGCAGAAGAAATACAGATCGATTGAGATTATGTAGGAAGTGGAACCATGGTCAAGTGCCTTACTTTTCAGCTCAGTTTCAGCAGTTTTATAATCTCATCTCAGTGAGATATTCTAGGAACGGAAAAATTGGCTGAAAAAGTTTGTAGTGCTTGTTGTTTGTAGTAAGAAAGACATATTCAGTTTCAAGCTCCATGCATATTTGTCAGTTTTCCCCGCGTTTTAAGTCTGGATTGTATTCGATTTCACTGTGGTTAGCAGTCGTAATTTTGGATCAATATCAGTATCTGGGCAACTGCCCACCTACCCCTCCCCTAACCCAACAACAATCAATTGATAACAAGTTAGGGCTAACAAGTTAGGGCTAACAAGTTAGGGCTAACAAGTTAGGGCTAACAAGTTAGGGCTAACAAGTTAGGGTTAACAAGTTAGGGTTAATGTTGGGTTAGGGGAGGGGTAGGTGGGCAGTTGCCCAGATATTGATATTGATCCGTAATTTTACCTTGCACGTCTCTACTTGTATTGACTGAAATTCACCGGAAAATTGACGAAATAGCTTCTACACAAGAAGTTGAAAAACGTTATTTAAAAAGCAAAGCTGTGTTTAATTTCGTTGTTTGTGGAAGCGAAGTCTTGCTCTTCTGCCTTGCGCTTCGGTTGCTTCGCACTTCGACACTTATCCGCTGGATAGCGATTTATCCGTTGGATAACATTATCTGCCCTACGAACAACTGGGTTTTAAAAATTATACCCAATCAAAGTGAAATAAGAGCTTTACGTCCATGCGTTTTAATTAAATAAAGTGCAAAATAACGTGAGAAATCTCCTAATGCGACCCTGATGTAAAATAAATTTAAAAAATTTAAATATGTTCCCTTTATGCTCTGGTAGCCCTTTAATGAATAAGTACAAAACTGTCTTCGAAGTTATGCAATCGGCAGCAACGTCCCATCACATCACATTATAAGATGCAGTTGTATGAGATGGGAATTGCAAAAACAATGATAAAAAAAG